TGTTATAAATACTGCACTCCTGGTGCCACATTCACCTCTATCTGCGAATGTCTCTGATGATGGATTCGAGTGAGAATCCGAAACGTCAGGCAAATAAACTTCTTGTCCCAGTGATCGCATCTTCATCTTCTGTTATATTTATGTTAAAAATAGATCAGTCAAATTCGCGCGTATCTCCGATGATGTTAGTTCCACCGAACCATTCGATGAGACGCTCGTCTGCGCGGCAATATCGGCCTTAGTCTACATTCCACTCTCCAACATCGACGATTTACTTAGTTCATAAAGGGAGGTACCCGCAGCACTGAGAGCAGACATACGGTCATTACTTCCAGCTTTTCATGGCATCTTTGCCCGGGACGAAAGTAGTATCAGGAGCACCAACTACATCCGTCACTCTCTAGACACTGGGGAGGCTTAACATATTTGGCAGTAACCCAGACGAATGCCAACACACTTCCAGTCTGGAGTCAATGAACTCATTGAAAAAATGCTGAAGGCCAGAGCTATTAAGCCATCCCAATCACCATGGGCGTCGTCGGTCACCCTAGTACCCAAAAAGATGGGAAGCTACGCTTCTGCGTCAACTATCGGCGGTTGAATGCCGTACCTCCCAGAGATTCATTTCCGGTGCCCCGTATCGACGTGGTGCTGGATGCACTCGCCAGTGCCAAATAGTTTTCCACACTAGACCTCAAGTCGGGGTACTGGCAGATGGAGGTCGAACCGAAAGGTAGGCTTAAGGCGGCATTCATTTTACCGCAAGCATTATTTGAATTCGAGACAATGGCGTTCGGACTTGGTAATGCCGCGGCCATGTTACGAAGACGCATGCAGGTAGTATTAGTCCAACAATTTTTGACTTGTTGCTTGATCTATCTCGACGACATGATTGTTTTCGGAAAGTCCGTGGCGGAACACAACCACAACATCACGGAAGTATTTATAGCCTTACGGGACGCCGGGCTACGTCTCAATCCTACTATGTGTACCTTTCTCAAGCAGAAGGTCACATATCTTGGTCACGAAGTTAGCGCAAACGGCATTTGCGCGTCACCAGAAAAGATTGACGTAATACGCACCTGGCCGGTACCGACATCGGCCACTCAAGTACGGAGCTTTGTGGGGCTAGCATACTACTACAGGCGGTTCATACCACATTTTGTGGAGATAGCACGACCCTTACACAGGCTCACGGAGAAAGGACGGCCGTTCGTGTGGACTGAAGAGTGTCAAACCGCCTTCGACGAACTGAAGACCCACCTTATTACAGCTCTTGTCCTCGTGCTACCGAGTACAGACAGGAATGCACCACCCTTCATAATAGATACCGATGCTAGCGGCTTCGCAATAGGAAGTGTACTGTCCCAGCTGGACGAGACGGAAAACGAGCGACCTATATGCTTTGAAAACAAAGTTCTGAATAAAGCGCAACGCAACTACTGCGACTACCACTTGTCTTGATGACTTTTGTTAAGCAGTTCAAGCCATTCTTAACCGGTCGACGCTTCGTTATTCGGCCAAATCGCAAAGCACTCCACTGGTTGCAAAATACGAAGGATGCCGAAGGGCAGCTAACCCGTTGGCAAGAAACCCTACAAAAATTTGACTTCATATGCCAGCATCGACCCGGTACGAAACACAATAATGCGGACGCGCTATCATTCAGGCCACCCAAAATAGCGAATCCAGGCATACCCGTTACATCTACAATAAGCGCACGAGACACCATTGGGCAAGTGCACGGAGTACCGGTCCGGACACGGCCATAATTTATGATCATCAATTGCACTTAAAACATCGGCCAACTGACACAGAACTTCGCGACTCATCGGAAATAGCTCGCATAGTACGAAACCAGTGGCCAGACCTGTTCATGGAGAACGAATTCCTTTTCTTCAGAGGCGAAAGTGAAATTACGCCAAGACTTGTCGTACCCGACAGCATGATCATTCCAGTCCTCCGGGGTATTTATCGCGAACTTGACCATGTTGGTCATTCGAAGACAGAAGCCGCAGTTAGACAACGATTTTGGTGGCCACACCTCCGTGAACAGGTCGCCACGTCCTGAAATACCTGCGCCACGTGTACCGCATTCAAGGGACCAAACCACAAAAGGAGAGCAGGAATGCAGTCAGTGTAGAGCAAAGAAGGAGGAGGCATCATTACCGAGAGCAAAGATGGCGTCGTCGGTGGAGGTGAGAAGAGAGAAATACGCGCGGGGTTCCTTCATGCCGGCCAAGTCTGTCCACTGGCCCTGGGGACACCTGGCGTCTGGTGGTGTGAACATCTCCACCATGTTTAATCTGTTTCCATCAACACCAATTCCCCCGGCGACAATGATTTTCCCCCGAAAGTGTGTCGCTGCCAGCGCGCTTCGTGCAGTTCTCATGGGTGCGGCTGGCTGCCAAAAGTCCGACGAGGTCGCCCTCTCTCGCCAGTCTGCTCGCAGGTGGCAGAACTCCACAGAAGCCAAAATACGAAGGATGCCGAAGGGCAGCTAACCCGTTGGCAAGAAACCCTACAAAAATTTGACTTCATATGCCAGCATCGACCCGGTACGAAACACAATAATGCGGACGCGCTATCATTCAGGCCACCCAAAATAGCGAATCCAGGCATACCCGTTACATCTACAATAAGCGCACGAGACACCATTGGGCAAGTGCACGGAGTACCGGTCCGGACACGGCCATAATTTATGATCATCAATTGCACTTAAAACATCGGCCAACTGACACAGAACTTCGCGACTCATCGGAAATAGCTCGCATAGTACGAAACCAGTGGCCAGACCTGTTCATGGAGAACGAATTCCTTTTCTTCAGAGGCGAAAGTGAAATTACGCCAAGACTTGTCGTACCCGACAGCATGATCATTCCAGTCCTCCGGGGTATTTATCGCGAACTTGACCATGTTGGTCATTCGAAGACAGAAGCCGCAGTTAGACAACGATTTTGGTGGCCACACCTCCGTGAACAGGTCGCCACGTCCTGAAATACCTGCGCCACGTGTGCCGCATTCAAGGGACCAAACCACAAAAGGAGAGCACCACTTCACTCAGTGATTACGGGAATCCCTTTTGAACGAGTAGGTATCCATGTGATTGCCCCTCTCCCGTTCACACCGTTAGGCAACCGTTACATCCTAGTAATGGTAGATTATTTTACCAAATGGACAGAAGCGGTCCCACTACGTCGGCAAGATGCTGCTTTAGTCACTAATGCACTCATTTCCGCATGGGTTTGCGTTCCGGAGCATCCTTATCCCTACATTCTGACTGCGGGGCGAATTTCGAGAGCGGCCTGGTGCGTGATTTATGTGACCTGCTCATCCAGAAAAGCCGTGCAACCCCCGCGCACCATGAAGGGAACGGACAGGTAGGATGAACCAATCGCACGATCATCAACTTATTGAAAGCGTTCGCCGAAGAGCACCACCCACACGATTGGGATTCCTGACTACCGTCCGCGATGATGGCCTACGGCGCAACAGCCCATTCATCGACCGGGCATGCATCCTTCCTGGTGATGACTGACCGCCACTTTCGAATGCTCGTAGACTTTCAATTTCCATTGCATACCTCGGACGCCCATAACCCGGACAAGTACGTTCTTGACCTGCAAGAAACACTGCGAATTACACATAACCTGACCCGCACCCACCTCAAAGCCTCTTACGATAGGCAGAAAGAATACTTTGACCGAAACTCACACGGTACGCCATACAATGAAGGCTACCTGGTTTTACTCTTTGGATGGGCATACCAACCAAGTTCTGCCCCTGGCGAAGGCCCTTTCGTCATCACGGACGTCCTACCCCACAACATATATATCATACGTGATGCACAGATGCCTGATAGTCCCGCGTTTACAGTAAATTACGACAAACTTAAGCCACACAGAGGACGCCCCCAATGCGACCACTGACTCCCTCCCTACAATCCCACCCCATCTAGTTCCCCAGCAGACACACAAAGTCGAGATCGGTGACCTCCCACACACCCCACGCACCGGCCCCGAGGACAGGGCCGCCGTTTGAGAAGGGGGGTTTTGGAAAGTGTTGATCCCCGGACAAGTGTACTCGTTTGAATGCTGTGTACGCACTTTACATAGCGTTGGTTTTTACGTTGTTTTTTCCTTTTGAATTTGAAATGATCGCCTGTGAGCGAGGACAGACTGTTAGTCAGGGGTCGGACAGCACGCCGGAAGAGGACTTGGACAGACCCACCAATTGAGAGTTGCAAGTGCACTACCGTGTGGACGCTGTTGAGTTGTCTACTTTTCCCACTCCGGCTATCTTCGAACCTTATTAACAAACTTTATGTAAAAGCCATCATTCTACGCCATGTCTGACGGTGTTGACAGTGTAGGAGCTAGCACCGTACAAGTACAGTGTTATTAGGGATAGAACAGTTTCCTTGTCTTTTTCCTCAGCCCTCTGGCGTTATTGTTTCTACGGACTTAGCAAGTGGAATCTGTGCTTATTGCATCGTCCCTAATGCGGACGTTTTTTTCTTTGTTTGTTTATCACTTCGACCTCTGGTGATCTTAAGTTCCAACAGTCTTCAGATTACGCCACGCTCGTTCCTGTGGCTTTTCGACGGAGAAGCTGATCGAACAGTCCTTCACGGTCGAGTGCGTCGAACCACGGATGCTCTCGGAGATTACAGCCCAAATTAGGAGAACCGGCTTACCCGCCCATTTGTCCCCTGCTACTTAGTGTTGCTATTACCTTAGCTATCATACCTGACAAATGGTCCCTAGCAGTGAGGCACTGTCTTTTTTCTTCCTTAACGTATCTGCCTTCCCTGTGTCCACCATCTTTCACTTCGCGTCCTGCCAAATAAACATGTCTCAACCATTCCCTGACCTACTGTTCACATCCCCTGGGTCTGCTGGACGTGCAAGGCAATGCTCCACTGGGTAAATCACTTGCAGGTGCTTATGCTGGCATAACCCCAGTAAGCCTATAGAAGAAGTGACGCTGTGAACGGTCTGATGCCCAAAGTGTACCAAGCCCAAGGAATTTTGGTTAGTACAACTGAATCACATTCATAATTGTAATGTGTAGATGGAAGGCATAAATAACTTGGCCACTGAGTGCGAAATCCTGCGTTCTCTATACCCAGAAGAAATATTTACCTACGAAGTGGACAATAACACAGTTATAAGGGGCACATTCACCGCTCACCCGAAGGTTCTTTTAAAAACAATCGTCACTGGACCGAGATACAATCGTCAATTACATTTCACGAAAAAAATCTCAGACCAATCTTCTGTTATGGAGTGTCAATATGAAATTGACTATCTCCCTCCAATTTATCTGGATTTCCATGAATCAATAGATGGAGACCGTCCCAGGGCATTTATTTCTCCCAATTCCATGTGGTTATCATCTGAGTTTATCTCACGTTTGAAAGACGAACTTGAAAACATATTGCAAAGCCCAACTTATGAATCACCTCTCTGGTCTTGCTTCGAGTACGTGGAAAATAATGCGATGCACCTCTTATTTCCTGTTTTGACGCCTGGATTTTGTCTCATCGACCCGTTATCCGTATTTAATAACGACGAGCTCGCGTCGAGGCAATCCATGGAGGTTTTATTGGGTACTAATGAAGCGGAGCTGGAGACCAGATACAGAAGCTCTTACCACGAATGCCCTGTCTGCGCCTCCTCGAAAAAAGGAAGTAAATTTGTTCGTCTAAGTCAGTGCTCCCATGCTGCATGTTTTAGTTGCATGAAGGAGGCCTTCTCCGTTCAAGTCAATGAGGGCTTCAATGAAGGCAATCCGCAGTGTTTGTTTTGCGATGCGAATGCCACGCAGTTCGAGGTAAGCTCTTATTAACTTTCTAAATCTACTCCTTTCGGAGACCTCTACGTATCAATTAGGTTACCTTTCGACGGCACTTATGCGCATTTTGTCATGCGTGACATTGCTTGCTTAGGGCAGGCGATCAGTTAAAATACCACAGATCTGTGCGAGGTAGAATGTTCGACAGCGAACCAGCGGAAAATGGGTTAGTTGCCGGGTGGACAGTGAAATGGTTGGCGACTTTAACCAAAAGGGGTGGAACAGAAGTTTCCACGGACCTCATAAGAAATGGAAAGAATAAGAATCAGCAACAATAGTCAACTTTAGGTCTCTGTAGAAGGCAAGCTCTTTTGAAATCATCGTTGCATTAAAGAAATGCTAATCTTAACCAAGCCGGACGATTGTGTGCCACTGTCAGTAAGCGATGCAGGACAAGAGGCAGAGCTCCTTGGTACTTAATGTCAATAGTGTTCATCTTCGATGAACTGGCCCTAATTACCCCACGTAGTCTAAGTTTTTCAAAAGTCTATCAAGTACGGTCGCGTCTCCTTATTCTGCTTCTCCAAGCGACGCGTACTATCGTTTGGAGCTTCGTGGGTCAGCCGACTGGAACTCTGGTTGTGCCTCAGCTGTTCCCTTCCTGTCAGGGTTCGAACCCCGCCAAGGTTCCCGGAATTCCCACATTTGGGTATTCGGTTTACTAATACTCTCTGTCGCCCGCACATAGTTGTCCATATAATTCCCGGAGTGCCCATGAAGGGTGCTTTTAGGTGCACAGCCTTATTGCCTATGCTTTGCCGGTACTCCTACTCGTGTCTCAACAAGATTCGTTATGTTTTGAAGTTGCCAGCAAAAATGAACAGTTAGAAGCGTTTTATGGTGCCATAGTTTACGGCCTTGCCGGATCGGCGATGCATGCTGATATTATTGAAATACACTCAAGTTTTTTTGGATCAGCTACTGCACTATTTGCTGTCACTTCATTTCATTTTGTTACCAGAGAGTGCGACCAAAATAGTACCCAAATAACGATTTAGTTTAGAAATCTCATAGTTTTCAATTATGCGAACTGGTGATACCCGATAACGGCCAGTACTCTTGCTGGGAAGCAATTGTAGCTTGCGCACGAATTATAATGATTGTAGCCTAGGTGGGATTTACCCCACTCTTTTTTCCCATAGCTATCCACTTTCGAGACACAGTCAAGGGGATTGGGCGTAGGTATTAGTCAGTGGCTAACCTGTCATCAGGAAAAGGCTGGTGCAAGGAAAGAGAGTTAAGGATGCTGTGAAATCCTTATTTCGGCCAACCTAGATACAAGTCACAAGTGCGCCCTTAGGACTGTGGCGGTTCTTCCGTCGTTCCCGTCACAAGGTCCATCACTCTACATGAACCCGACTTTGATAATCCAGACCTCGCCTCATTGAGGCTTGCCATACAGGCCACATTGAGGGGGCATTAGAGCCTCACCCTCGCTCTAGGAAACCAAGTTACTACGTCAAGTGACAATCACGACCTTTTTCGCATCATGACAATTTAGACCCGTGGGACGTGCGCTGGACCGGCCTCGATGTTTTCCCCTCTCGTACCATGTGCCAGTGGCGGGTCCGATTCAAGCTGACTGTATGTGAAATCAGTTACACTGGTTGGCGCGGAACAAGACTCCCGTCTACCACTTGCCACACCCGCTTGACACCCGTTTAGGCCTCTTGTACTACTTGTAACTTGGTACGGCTGTGATCATGCCTGACCTAGCCAGCCTCGATGATGTCCCGAACTGTACCTCTCCATGCGTGACGATCCGCGGCAGCAGCTAAGCTAACGGACAACTCTTCTTCCCGGTCATAGGTCACGCCTCCCAAATTCAATCGTTCTAATAATCTCCGTCTTGAAGATATGATAGCTGAGACTTTACGATACGTTCCAACATGAAAAAACTTTTAATGACTATTTTTGTTTATTGCCTAACTTTTATCCGACTGTTCAAGCCTTCCGTTCTGTCCCTTGAATATGGCCGGGTGCCACGGATGCAATAAGGCGAATCCAACAATAGCAAACCAGTGTTATTTTAGTGAAACGTTTGAAGGGATTTAGGTCCCCGTATCCTCAGCCAGAGGCAAACGCTTCCTCATTTGCCAGATCTGTTTTTTTTCAGGCTATTAATTTATTGCTCGCAGGTTTGCGGCTCTAATCTGTCTTCTTCTTTAGATCCGTAGGATTCTGTCAAAGAAAATGTACGAACGATACGAGAACTTTCTATTGGCTAGGGCCTTAGGAGGTATGCAGGACGTCGCTGTTTGTCCGAGACCAAAGTGTGGCGCCTCGGTCTTGCTAGACTCTCCTACTCTTGGACGATGCCCTGAATGCAAATTTGTCTTCTGCGCCAATTGCAGGCACTCATATCATGGACCCTCTCCATGTTTATCATTACATCTGTCCATAGGTACGTCAGGTTTGATCTCCAGTCGAATATTTCATATTCCTTAGCTAGTTTCTGGCGGCTATAGGCTCCAAGTGCTGTTCTCACACCAATAAAGCTTGGAATTTTCCTTATGACGTGATTGATGCCAGGCTACAAAAGATCGCTAATTAAGTTCCATACCATAACTAAGTTCTATACCACACTTTGCCATCTCCGTTTACTCAGTGTAACGGCAGTTTGAGTGATTTCATTGTGAAGGAAAGTCATCATAACAGTGTAGGCTCTTAGAATCCCTGAGGTGGATACCTTCTGTTGTGTCCTTATCACCACAGAGACCAGGATGAGCTAGTCGTAGTAGACTCAACGAACCCAGCGTTGGGGTCGATCAAAGACAACATGGAAGCCTCACTCGACAGAAAGCCAACAAACCGTCAGGAAGAACAGTCACCCTTCCCTTAAGCATTTCAAACATCCTACTAGACATAATAACTGCCCCCATTTCGGGGTGGTGGCGCGCGTCACGGACAACAGGACCGTCTCAGAAGCATTTGCAGCAACCGGCGGAGTGAAACTGGGCTGTATATTTAGTTTCAACCCTCTTGCCATGTTGATGGACGCCTGCCATGATGGGCGCCCCCGGGTCCGCATTGCTTACAGGACCGACGGTCCTCATCTCAACAGCCGGCATCTGCGGGCCTCAACGCGTCTCTCCACGACTTGTCCTTCGCCGGATCTTCAAAAAGCAGCCAAGCCTTCGGTCGGCTGCAGAACTCTGTATTGAATTGCAACGGTCTCCACCTGAATACCAAACTGAAGATGTACAAAGCAGTCATCTTGACGATGCTGCTGTATGATGCGGATACCTGGACAGTCTATTGGAAGCAAGCCCGCAAACTCAATTATTTCCACCTTACTTGTCTCTGTCGGATATTAAAGCTGAGTTAGCAGGATAGGATCCCTAACATAGAAGTTTCGGAATGGATTGGAATCCTCAGAATCTACACCATACTGAGGCAACTACAACTGCAAGTGCGAAGGAGCAGCCACCTGGTGAAGATGGACGACGAGCGCCTATTAAGACAAGTTTTCTACGGAGATGTCGCCGACAAGGTCAAACCCGACGACGACGACGACGACGACGACGACGACGACTACCACCACCACCACCACTACCACCACCACCACCACCACCACCACCACCACCACCACCACCACCACCACCACCGCCGCCGCCACCACCATCATCATCATCAACACCACCGATCAAAACGCTCGCCACGGCCAGCCAACCACCGCCCTCACCATTATCACTCCCGTCTCCAGCGATGAGAACTCAGTCCGAGCCTGTCCTCATTGCGATCGCACACCCACCTCAGTCATCGCCCGGTCACTTGCGAAAACTTCGCACGGAAACTGGTGAGCCAGTGCATGGGGCCCCGACATACAGTCGCCGCGTCCGCCTTCACTGCGGACGCACATTCATGGCCGTATGGGCATATTTGGTCACATGCACCTTCTCGGAAATCTGCGGCGATTTGCTACATGCTCGACCACATTACCACACATTTTCCCCACCAACGCGTGCATCACATGCACTCCCCGGCACCGGCGCCTTCCACGTAAGTCAGCAGCGTGTTCTCCGACTGCTCCTCATGTGGCCTCTCAACTACGTGTGAGATCTGTACGGCACTCGTCATGATATACGCAAATCCTGACCATGCGTAGGCCGTGACCGTGGGGTGTAGTGGCATACAGGCTCACGCCATGAGAGCTGGGATCTATGCCGCTGCCCCTATCCTCTTGTTGTTGAGTCAAA